TTGCATTACAAGGGAAGTATAACAAGGCTAACCTTGGAGAGAAAAGTCCTTTAGGCTTATATGACAAAGTTTAGATATATTTTAGGAGATGCTAGCTTTCTGCAACTTCTTGCCAAGCGATGCAGCACATTTCAAGGCTTGGAGGTTGGTTATGAAGCTCTGGTTTTGCATGTATGAAACATAACTCTTTATAGATTTGCAGCAAGCTGTTTGGTTCCTTATTACATGTCCACACTCTTCCACAACATTGGTTACACTGGGAAAGTCCAGCGGACAGACTGAACCAATTAGTCGAATAACATTGAACACCGACAAGTCAGATGCTGTCTTTATATGAATACGCCAATAAATTAGCCAAAGTTGTAAATAGTAAAGCAAGATCTATGAGGCCTAGTCTCCTTTTCTTTTGCATTCATTTTCAGAACTCACCTTTATTTAGGTTGCAATTAGCAAGTGCTCTAAAAAGACCATTTGCAACGGCAGGGTCAAGCTTACTAGCCAGCAAATGAAGGACAATACCCTTACAGTCATTGATCCTGGCCATCTGCTCAGGCAGCTTTTGTCCCCATCTATATTTGACAAATCATTTAGGGTAATTTTTTTAGCAGCATAATTCATGGCATTTTGGCAAACTTGGTCACAACACTCATTTACAGGATCAATATTTCTACAAGCGGTCAGTAGTCTAGAAGTGTCTACAATGCTCTCAAATTCATCAACAGCCACAATGGGACAAGATGCTTCAGTGAGATTTGCTGGATGGACTGAACATGTGTTTTTCAGGTCCTCATTTGCTCCTTGACTGACCAGAATCTTCTGAATATCTGAGAGGCAGTGGCTGGCATGAGTTATGTTCAAAGCTAGCTGCCCGGAGTATTTACCTGACTGCCCAATAAATGTCCCCAACATGGCAATATATTGAGGACAACATACTACATTTGCCAAATATTTAGCAAAAGAGCTCAAACAGTCAGCGGCAGTTGTGCTCAATATGTGTTCTGCAGCTGAGAGATTTAATGAACAAAGGCCTGGATAGTAAAATAGTATTTCAGGTCATCTCAGAACTTGTGCCAGACAAACAAATGAAATAGCATATCCAGTGAAAAAAACATAATTTCATAACTCGTAACCAGCCAAAACCCCCTAGGGGCCGCACCTAGGGCCTTATCTCATTCTTAGTATTTGTCGTATGATGCAATTCTCAGCCATAGGTTAATTCATGGTGATGAATTTAATCATCCAATAAAGTAATTAGGGAGGAATCATAACAATTTAGCTCAATGCAAGAACATCAAAATCCACCAAAACAATTTAGAAGTCAAAACACTTTTAGGATGAAACATTGGAATTGCCGTTTGAGATTCGATCATCTGATCGTATTGATGAACTAGAGCACCACCTTGAGCTTCAACAAGTCATGATTGAATCTACCAACACTTGTCTGGCCCAAAACTACCATTTTACATCCTAATTTACCTAATTACCCTTACTATTCCCAATTCCCGTGTGCCATAAGATATATGACATGCGCATTCTGAAAGAAGAGATGCGTCAAGCTGTTTTGCATACATTTACAAAAGATACTCGGTTATTATTGATCCAGATATGCTAACCCATCTTCACCGCTAACCATCATAATGTGTCAAAGTGCTGTCAGTATGTGAGTAAATGTGCAGAAATTCATATCATAAGGTCTCACACAAAAGTTGAAAAATTAGAAGCAAACCATACCTGATAATTTTGGCAGAGTATAATTTGTGAATGGTTCCAGTGGGGAAGGAGCTAGAAGAGGATGAAGTGGTTGAGACTCTATACTTGGTGAGATATCAGGAGGCAGCACATCAACCTTAGTTGTGACAGAAAAGGAAACTTTTGCACCCCTTAATGAAGAGCACTGAAACATGTGAATACCTGTACGTAGGGAGTTTTCAGTTTAATCAACTCACTTTCAGAAATATGCACAAACTGATATCAAGTTTGTGATAATGTACTTATGTAAAATTAAAAAGACAACATGACGCAGCATCTGTATCCGAATGACATGGAGAGCTGCAAATGAGTTATATAGTACTTTGATCAACAATGCAAAGTTTCGATCTGTAGATCTGTAGACCCTTTTTGCACTTCCATAAAGTGCATTTTAAAGAATTTTCCATATCTTTAAGTTTTGGGTTATAACTGCAAATTCTCATGAAACTCAACAATGTACATAAGGTAATAATAGTGTCTAAGAAAATTCGATGAAGGTTGCCGTTTTTCACGGAGGTTTGTATCAAAGCTTATAACACCAATGAAACTTCAATCATAATTTGATGGTATACTTAGCCATTTATACCTTTAAAGTTCGTTGTAAACAAATTTTTCTTGCCCAAATTAAAGAACCTGCGGTTTTAGCTTCTTTTGCCCCCCAAGATTTGAAATATATAGCAATTCTTATACTGAATTAACCTCACACAACAATCATTATATTTATCATATGCAAGCACAATTCCTTGGTTCATCAAAATGTCATTGTGCTTGACATACTCATCTAAGACGAATTTCAGGAAAGCATGTACTAGTTTTATCGGTGAACGAAACAAATCTCAAAGATGGATGCACTGTATGACAATACCAAATTAAATTACAAAAAGCTTGAAACTTGAAGGGCTAAGTTATAATTTGAATGAAACCAAAACGAAAACAAAGAGTAACGAGAGGAGACTTACACAGGAGAAGAAGCAGAGTAATATGAAAAACATGAGTGCGAGAGAGAGCACCCTTCATATTTGCAGCTTGACAAGGAATGCCATAAAAATCATTTAGAAAACTAGCGTACAGGTTGCACCACTCCACTCACCTCTGACTTCAGACTTCAGATACTTTCGCTCTACTTCATTCAGACGTGAGCGAGGGACATGCTAGTACTGCATGTAACATCCAGGGGATGATCACGTGCAAACCACGTGATTCATTCAATGACTGTGAAGTTGGCGCGTGAGAGGTTGCTTGGTTTGTTAATCCCGTGTTACCTCGAATGCTGGCGTTGACACACCGTGCCTTTTGACCCGCTCGATGACTTTTAGGAACGGTTCGGGTGCTACCAGATAACAGGCTGCTTTCCTGAATATCTATATATCTATATATATATATATTTTTTTATGGGTTTTAACATATCGTATGATGCCCGCATTATTGTAAAAAAATTATTCATTATATACTTTGAGACGATTATTTAAATCTTAAATTAAATCTAACCATAGAGGGATAGATCTCTCCAAGGAAAGGTCTATCTAGAAAAAGGATAGGATAGAGTAAGTTGAGTGTCATAATAAAGAGATTCTTTTGCCCTTTTCGCCGTCTCTATACTGTAAACAGCGGAGAAGATAGCATTGAAAGTTGAAATAAAGAGTATTTGCGTGCAAGAATAAAGATAATTTAGTCATTCCACAAATTGACTGCATCAAAGGTAGATGAATTATGTAAATAATTTTTAGTAATTATGACAAAGTGCTTTTTAACAAGTGCCATCAATATCGTGACAAGGCTTAACATTTCAATAGAGGGCTTCATACCTAAACATATAAGAGCATGTACCATTTCAATTAATGGATTCTATCAATCTCTCTCTTTAGGGTTTAGAATTCTCTTGGTAACAAACAATTCATTCCTTGATTCTGGAACACGAAATAAGAAGCAAGGGGAAGATTGTCCTGTCTCCACATGATCACAAGAGAGGTGCAAGGTTCCAATAAATTATGCACTAAACTAGGGAATATTGCGCAATCAAAAACAGACATATTTACTTATCCCATGTGAAGAGGTGCCCCATCTGCTAGCTACCGTTTCCACTCTGCACACGTTAGAGTCTCTGAATATCAGCTGGGGCCTAATTAGTGTTATTGTATAAATGGTGCCATTAAACTGAAGGTTTCGTCACTCTCAGCTCATGTTGGCACCACAACAGCTAATTCAACTCAACAAGTGCTCACAAATTTGCTTTGACTTCTGACACATGGATGGTTTCCTCCAAAAATGTCATTCTTTTTCCTTAAAAAAAAAAAAAACAGAAACAGGTTCTACTATTCAAAGAATAAAGAAAACACTTGCAAAGTTATGTTAACATCTAATCCTAACCTTTCATCAACCACTACCAGCACCTCAAGAAAGATGCAATGTGTCATTTTGCACACAAGATTCTCGGCTAACTTGATACGTATGTTAAAATTACAGGATGATTATGTAGTAATGGACCTTTACGAATTAGAATTGTGAGTCTCGCATCAAGTCTCTTGCTTTAGTCTTTTGATGCGTCAGGTTTATTTTTTGTTTGGATATTCGTGGGGAAGAAGTGTTTGCCTTGAAAATGATGGATCAAAAGAATATTCTTTAGGGAAATGACAATTAAAAATCCTATAAAAACATTAATGACAATTAAAAACTCAATTATTGAAATCTCAATAACATATCATAACTTTTACTTTTAATAAATTATTTTTTATTAATTAACTTAAGATTTATAACCAACTGTAATAAATTTTTTACCAACGTTACAAAAATTCTCAAACATTTTTTGTTAATTTTTCAATTAACATAAAAATTTCACAAGTTTTTGGCTAGTGATCCACTTATTATCTTAAATTTTCAACTTACATCACCAAAAATACCAAGTATATTTACTAAATTTTTCAAATAATTTATTCACATACTAACAATTGACTATTAAAAATTCTATTATTACAAGTAATCTCAAGTATATTTCCTTAATCTTTCAAGCAACTTATTTGCATATTAACAACAGAGAATCAAAACTCATAATTAATTTTCATAAATTTCAATCAACATTATAAATAATTTTAAATATATTTAATAAATTTTTCAACTAATTATCTGCATTTTTTTAATTACAAATAAAGACTCTGTTATTAGAATTTTAATAATTCACAATCTCTAATTGCCACTTATACTGTTGTGGGATGTGTAATTGTCATTTTCCCTACTCTTTACCATCACGACCAACATAATGCCACATGCAACATGCATTTTTACTTTCACCCAAAAATATATGCAATTTTTACAAAGGCTTTTATACGTTGTTCCTATTATCTAATGGGGGCATAATGTATATCAGCAAGAATAGATAATCTAGAGTCAAGTTGCTGGCTGTTAACAGTCCTAAAAAACATTAAAATTTGTCCCTAAAAATGCTCTCTCCCTCAAAGGAGATCAATTCAAGATTATTGGAAATTTATTCTCTCACATTTTACAATTCAAGAAGTGCAGGCTTGAGCAGATGCCGCTGATTATCCCATCGATACATTCACTGTTGAATAAGGTTTCTTATAACATATGGAAGTATGCCTCTGTGATTGAAATAAGCAAGTTCCACCTGAAAATATGATATGGTTAATAACATAAAATCAAGGGAAAAAATCTGCAGCAACCGGCAGGTTTTTGAAACGCTAAATAGATAAAAGGCAAACCTTGACAGACATGCCACGTTCGGGTCTATGTAAACAATGATTTTTTGAAGAGAAAGCATGAAGTAAAATCTTAAATTTACCTCAGTGTCAAAGCGTACTGTGCAGGTGAAAGATCTTCCAGAATCAGTCATGACAGTGACATCTTGGCCAGGCCTTATGTCGGTAATTTTACTTGGGAGATCAATTGTGTATCGTTCATGACCAGTCAATCCAAGTGCGTCAGCATCCTCACCAGGTTTAAAGCAAAGAGGAATAATGCCCATTCCTACTAAATTACTACGATGAATTCTCTCAAAACTTCTAGCAATCACTGCTTTGACTCCCTGTTGTAAAAAATATTAAAACCATCAGCACATGTTAAGGAAACACAAAAAAAAAGTACAAAACACAGCTCCATAGTAGGTTCATAATATATAGTGACTAACCAATAGCATCGGGCCCTTGGCAGCCCAATCTCTTGAACTTCCACTACCATATTCGGCACCAGCCAGCACAACGGTGTCCTGCCCGGCAGCTTTGTATTTCTGGCATAAAATGATCCCAGCATATTAGAAAATAAGCAGTGCTGTAATAATAACACAATAATACCCTCGATTATGCCCTAAAAATGTGAGATCACAAATCGCAAAAGTAATGCTTCAAGTGTTCTCAACAAAAAGAAAAATTTTAAATTGCCAGTAATAAAAAATTGCTATCATCAGTTGAATAAACACGGCTTGAAAGTTGATACATGCAACCAAAAAATCGGTCGTAGAATGTCTCCCAGATAACTTGAAAAGCACAATAGGATAATACCACCAAAAATATTCAATAGAACACGTCATGCTATGCTCCTACAAAATTTCAATTGCTATAATAAAACAATATGCAACATTTATTAAAAACAAAATGCGACATTTGGGTGGAGCACAGCTCACCATTGCCGCATCAAATACAGAGAGTTTCTCCCCTGATGGAATGTGAATGGTTTGGGGGCCAACTTCCCCATTCAAAAGCTTGTTAACAAGACGGATGTTAGCAAAAGTTCCCCTAGCCATTATTTCATCATTGCCACGGCGGCTTCCATAAGAATTAAAGTCCTTGCGATCCACTCCACGCTCAATTAAATATTTTGCAGCAGGACTGTCCTTATGAATGCTTCCTGCTGGAGAAATGTGATCAGTAGTGATACTGTCACCAAAATTCAGCAGGCAATATGCATCCTTCACACCATGAGCTCCAGGAGGATCCATGGTCATGTCCTTAAAGTATGGAGGTTCATGAATATATGTGGAGTTGGGGTCCCACGAGTACAGGGTCTCCGCAGGAACTTGTAGTTGATTCCACATAGGGTTGCCCTTGGTAATAGCATCATATGTACTTCGGAACATTTCTGGTAACACACTAGATTGAACAGCCTAGACATCAAGTCATCCAAATTAAATGTGCTATACACACCTTTTTGAAGCTTTAGATTATTTAATACAAAGGGTAAGTTAGAAAATTATTTACCTCAGCAATTTCTTCAGTGGATGGCCAGATATCCCTCAAGAAGACACTCTTGCCATCCTTCCCTGTCCCAATTGGCTCCTTTTCAAAGTCAATATCAACCTGGAAAGTCAACCAAAAAGTATCTAATGAAGATCCAATCATGTGGAAACTGAAATGTTACCTTGATTAATCCCAAAGTTCCTATTTCAAAATTGCATAAAATTGAAAATTGATATGCATCCTATTTAATATAGCTTATAGATAGTTGATGCTGGCGGTAATATTAGTATTTAGTACATTGCAAGAGGTTCCAGGGCAATGAAAATATAATTATTTAACTTCACGAACAGATATTTTTCATTCCACAAAAACAAGACCATAAAAAAAAAAAAAACATTTCCTAGTTTCAAGCATCCAAGCAATTGCGCTTGTTTGTGTAGGAACATAAATCCACTAACAGACTTCTCCGAGTATGAAACTAAACAAATGAAAGAAAATAAGGTTTATGCAAACAAAATAAAGATGTAGACTAGTATGCAATACCCATGCTTTTGATAGGAATGGAAGCCACCGCTAAAATGGTCCAACATATTCTGTATCTCTCCCTCTCTCTGAAATTGATAAGCAACAGAGAGGATCCAACCTCATTTACTTCCCAGTTCCAGGTTCAAACCAAAGTCTAAGGACTTGATAACCTTATCTTAAGATGACTAAGATGATTCTTGCTCTTTAACAAGAGATATAATTCTGAAATTTTATAACCACCAAAAACAATTCACATGGCCATGATAACTCAATTAGACATACATACCGTGCCAGCAAGAGCATAAGCAACAACTAGAGGAGGTGAGGCGAGATAGTTAGCTCTGGTTAATGGGTGCACACGACCCTCAAAATTACGGTTACCAGATAGCACAGCAGCTGCTACAATATCTGCAAAAGACCACATGAGGATCGCATCAGTAGGGTAAATATGAAGCAGAACAGTCCATGAAGTAGGAGTTTATCTGCAAGTTGTAACAATAGGACTTTTAATATAACCATTTTCTGAAATGGCAGCAGAAACTGATTCATCCAAATCCCCTGAATTGCCAATACACGTTGTGCAGCCAAATCCAACAATATTGAAACCCTGCTCATTTAGAAATTTCTGCAGTCCACTGCCAAAAAAAAAAAAATCCAAATTCAGTGAATATTTCATTCCAATTGTGTGGATAAGAAGTAAAGCCATCATAGTGCAGACTACGATAGTAATGTAATATTCTCATGAATCATTAGTAACATAAAATACCTTTGAAGCAGATACTTTGTAACTACTCCAGAGCCTGGAGCAAGACTTGTTTTTACCCAAGGTTTGACCTGGCAAAGAAATTCAAAACAGTTGCCCTTAGAATCGAAAAAAGATATAACATAACATTACACAGACAATTTATTTCTTCTACTTCAAGCAGTGAAGGAAAAAAATGATCCACATCAAGGACATCAGGTAGGAAAGCACTAAAATATTTAAGAGCCCAACCTGCAAACCAAGCTCACAAGCCTTTTTTGCAACAAGACCAGCCCCCAGCATAACACTCGGGTTTGATGTGTTAGTACAGCTTGTGATTGCAGCAATGACAACACTTCCCTGTTTGAGCTCTGCTGGCTGCCCGTGGAATTGAAATTTGGCAACTTTACCTTGGGCCTCTTTTGGTATAGCAAATCCCTGAATTAAAGCAAAACAATCACATTATATTGTGTCACATTTATCATGCAACACTAATTGCAACATGAATGACTTTACCACAGCAAATTAAAGTAAAAGTAGGGTGGGAGAAGGATCTTATACTGATCCAGAATTCTCCAGAGTTCCAGATGCCCTTGGAGGCATTTACTCATAAGCTAGCACATGCATACAAGTAACAGAATAGACTCCTTAGCATCAACTAGTGTAGGCTCAATGCATCTGCATGGAGAGCGAGGTAAGCTCTGCTGGTCATGACTTATGAGTTATGAATAGTATAGCTTTTTAAAACTTCTATAAATATATTGATGTTATTGATATTGATGCTACGATTGAAGGCCTTAAACCTAAAGCACAATTTGCAACAATAGATGATAAGTGATAACAACAATGAAGTGGTTTCAATTTTCTCCAAGGATGGAAAACCATAGCAGTTACTGATGACAGTTGTGCTGGTGTAAGTGATCAACGTGTTATAATTTAACTGCACCCAGAAGTATCAATAGTAAAAAACACTTGCTGCTCCTATCATTCAGCAAGTGGACGAAATAGTTACAGCAGTAAAGCAATCATATTATTAGGAACGGAACTTCTATTCTAGGAGTTTCTGGATGAATATATAAATTAGAAAGTTGAAGATCTACAACCTTCAATCGTTCGTAATGAGAATATAAGTGAAGAAAATAGGTTAATTGCATTCTTTTATTCTGAAGCCTCCTATATACCTTGTACAGTGATAAGAGAGTGAAAAGAGAAGTATAAATTCTCCAAGAATACTTCCAAAAGATTTTTTTTTCAGAAACATAGTTTAGCTCATTACTAATACTACTTGTTGAAAGCTGATCCAAGTTATAAACTATGAAACTGTTTACTTCATATGGTATCAAAATATGAAAAATGGCTTTTCTGCTATTACTGTCACAGCATCACTAACCTTAAACCCAACTTTGTTATCAAGGCAAGCACGCCAATCAGCCTTCATTTCTTTCAAAGGAACCCGATCATGAGGTCTGAAAGTGTTCGGCCAATATAAATTAATATACAGAAGAAAGATATTAGATAGCAATCCAGAATCCAAAAAAACAAAAACATAAAGGAAAAATGTACAAAGGGCACATAACTTACCTCTTAGGTCCTGAGATACAGGGCTCAACTTCAGCAAGGTTTAATTCAAGATAGGATGAATAAACTCTTTCTTGTTGAGGCTGAATTAAAGAAAAGTATGTTAGAACATAGGATACCTCAAAACATACATACACCTTATTCTAAGAAAAGATGAAAAATTTAGACGTAGATCAGAACAAAGGATATTCTTACCTCATTATAGTCAACAAACATTTTGTTTGCCCTGAGATATGCCTCTATCATGGCCACCTATATTTAAGCCAAAACGAAGGTCAGCAAACACTACAAGCATTTCATATCCTATGCAAAAAATAAATAAGTTGACAAAAAGTAATAGTACTCAGTACTCACTGTCTCATCACTTCTTCCAGTTAACTTGAGGTATTGTAAAGTAATGTGATCTACAGGGAAGAAGCCCATGGTGGCACCATACTCAGGAGACATGTTAGCAATAGTGGCCCTGTCAGCTAATGATAGCTCACCCATGCCATCCCCTAAGGAACAAAAATCGAGAGTGCTCCAATTAGCCAGGACAAATAAAAATATGTTAACAAAATAAGAAGCACAATCAACAATATGCTTTATGATAACTTAGTTACCATAAAATTCAACAAACTTCCCAACAACACCATGCTTCCTCAGCATTTGGGTAACAGTTAAAACTAAATCAGTTGCTGTAACACCATTGCAAAGTTTCCCAGATAACTTGAATCCAACAACACCAGGCAAAACCATACTCATAGGCTGTCAATATTACAAGCACAGGGCATTAGTGCAATCACAATAGCTAAATCACTCCATATGTACATTTCAAGAAAAAGCAAATGGACATCCGGTTCAAAAAAAAGTTAAATAATCCATGCACACAAAATGAGATGTTATGTACCTGACCAAGCATTGCTGCCTCTGCTTCAATGCCTCCAACACCCCAACCAGCCACCCCAAGCCCATCTATCATAGTAGTATGGGAATCAGTACCAACCACACTGTCAGGATAGAGCAAGCCATCATTCTTAAAAACAACACGTCCAAGGTACTCAAGATTCACCTGGAAACCAAAGATGTTGCAAGCTCATATCAACAAATGAAAGCGATGTCTTAAATACAATTGAGTCACGTAGCTTATCTGCTTTTAAATGTACCTGATGCACAATACCAGAACCAGGAGGAACAACAAGCATGTTGCGGAAAGCATTCGACCCCCATTTAAGAAATGCAAATCTTTCCTTGTTTCTTTGGAACTCAAGCTCCATGTTGGCCTGCACTGCATTCTCTGACCTTGTTACATCAACTTGAACTGAGTGATCAATGACGAGATCAACAGGTACCTGCCAATGATATATTTTTAAAAAATCAGTGGTAGTTATAAGAAACATAGTAACATATAGAAAATTTCTGTGGAAAATCATAACATGAAACCCAAGCAGTCAAATATATTGGCGAATTATGATCCTAAGCATTGTGTATGACCCTCTTACTCTACTAATCTCAGAACTCCTGTTATAAGTATACAAGGGGAAATAAGATTACATGATTTGCATCTCGATCAGATAAAAGTGCAGGCACAAAGCTAACTTGACCAAATATAACACAAGAGATGTAATAGAACAGATAAATAAGTTTAAGGTGCATAAGGCATTCCAAGATGAATATTTAGAAATTTGAAACCATTTTTAGTGCCATCAATGAACAATAGAAGAAAGGCACATGCATGTGATAACTACAATGATTACCAGAGGGTTTATTTTGTCAGAATCACTGCCAAGCTTCTTCATAGCATCACGCATACAAGCTAGGTCAACAACAGCCGGGACTCCTGTAAAATCCTGGGGAAAGGAAGAGAGGTTACAAGGAGGATCACACATTATTTGCAATCACCCAGATAAAATAATGAATTACACTTTGTACAAAAGTCGATGCCGAACCTGCAGGAGAACACGAGCAGGCTTGAAAGGAATTTCAACTTGCTTAACAGAACTATTTTCCCAGTCAATAATCTTCTCAATATCTTCTTTCTTAACTTGGAAATTGTCACAATTACGAATGGCAGATTCCAGAAGAATTCTGATGGAATAGGGTAACCTATCTGCAATACATTAAGATGACAGAATTAGTAATTAAACTAGCTGAAAGAGTAATGTGCGATACTGGAGATGGAGAGACTAGTACTTTGTTAGACAAGTGATGCCCTGGAATGAGAGAAGCAATTTTTTCTTTTTTTACATTCCAAACAACATTTTGGTGTATTTAGAAAATAAGAAACATTCAAATGGCGAGAAGGAATCATGGCAAGTGAAAATAGTGAATTACCAATTCTTGGATCGTTCAGAGAAGGAAGGCTGTAGAACTTTCCGAACTCGCCGCCACCAGGCTTAGGGAGACTGGCCAAGTTTGCCTTGAAAGGATTTTCACCAGCTAATATGGCATAAGAACAATCAGTACAAAAATTTCAACGGCCGATATTTGACAGTTAGTAAGTTGATATCATGTCAAAGGAAAATGTAAAATTTATGTTTTGACTTTCGAATCATGCAGGGCTCCACATTTCAAGAAACAAAAGTAGAATTTATGATCGTGAAAATCATAGCGGACATCTTCGCTGCATCGATAGAATAAGATATATTCCGGGAAGAAAAATATCCACCGGATTAGAGAATGAAAAAGAGAGTCCAGAATTCTCGGAGTGAACAGGAGAGTACCCATAGAAGAGATCTTGCGTTGAAACTGTTCAATCATAGGAGCGATGGCTCTGATCTGAGCCCTGAGACTGACCGGAGACCTCCAGTCGACGCCGTGGCTCCACTGGGGAGCCAAGCTGCCAAATGATCGGGGCGTGGAAAAGAAGCTGAGAGGTCGGTGGCCAGACAAAGGAGGAGGTCTGGTAGGAGGATGGGCGGGGGTTCTAGAAAAGGATGGATGGAAAAGCTTAGTTCGGGAAGCTCGGAGAAGTGAAGAAGCTGAGGAATGCATGGTGATGGTCACGCATCCAAAGACAGTATGGGCCGAGTCAGGATAAGGAAGGAGGCGGTGAGGGTGAGGGAATGACTGGGAAAGGAGGAATGGCGCAGCTCTGATGGCTTGTGGCCCCTTCTGCAACTATAAAAGGGGAAGCAAGGCGTCTGGAGAGCAGCTTTGAACCGGGCTGCGTTCGTGCCTGAGGACCTGTTTGTTTGAAGCTGAAAATATAAGCATCTTTTCATGACAGAAAATGAGTAATTTTAATTAGTCCAAATTATTTAAAAAATATCTTATAAAAATTTTATTAAAATTATTTTATATTTATTTACAATAATAAAAGGTGATTATTTTAGCATTTGATTATTTTAAAATTTTACAGTATTTTGTGAATTTTTATTTATAAAAATAATTTTTTAATTGTTTTCAAAAAATTAAATAGATATAACAAAAGTTCACGAAATATATATTTTAAAAAAAATAAGTAATTTTTTTCAAAAAAAAGTTCAAACAAACAAGGCCTTATTTTAGAATGCAAGTGCGTTTTGGCATTGTGTTTTTTTTATTATTATTTTTCATGATACAAAAATTATAATTATAAATTTTGAAGTAAATAAAGAAATTTAAATTAGGAGGAAGGAGAGAAATCAAAGTTGTCATAAATTTCTGCGTGCCGCCTTGTCCTGGGCTCCGCAAATGCTCTTATCAATTGAGCTTTAACTTGTTTTTACGGAGTGTTTTTTTTTTTTTGCAACAAGTTGTATTGAATTTGAATGTCTCTAATAATTCAAGTCAAACAATGCGCAAACCTCTCCCTTATTGGACCCAATCATTGGCAATCCAATGACAGATGGTGTGTTAATAGCGAGGAGAATGAGAACACGTGGCTTATTTGGAATTATGAGTCGCGAGGTAAAGGGAAAATAGTTTATGAACCTACACTCTGATGGGCTTACGACCCTTGGATTTTTTGTTCTGTCCATTTGATAATATACTCTATACTAGGATGTGGATGTTAGTATGGTTCTAAATTCTAAACAGCGAGCATACAGTAACGGGAATGAGGTACCACAGCAGTGGATCTGATGCCCCCTGGCAAGTGGCAATTTTTCCGAAGCTGGTGGCCTTTGGCGTGGGGGCCAAGTTGCATCGTTCAGCCATCCCTTAAATGCTTCCAGAAGCTATCCTGCGATAGAGCTACAATTGCTCCCCGTCCCCTTCTCTCTCTCTCTCTCTACATATCAAAATTTTATGTTTCTTTCATGCAACGTCAAATATGTAATGATTTTTAATATTAAAAATGAGTACTTAATTGGCTGGTAATCAATAGCTTCAGGTCAAAAGAAAGAGGGGGAAAAGGGTAATCAATGGCCGAGAAACAGTGCGGCATCCCAGGGAAAAACTCAAGCTTTTCTTCTTCGTTGTATTTTCCGTCAAATGTGACAATTGCATTGAATCGATCTATTCATGTTGTTTCCATTTTCATATTGAATCAATCTATTCACTGCCACGTGGCAACGGAGTGCGAGTTAGTTTTTCTCAACCAATCACTGCTATCCAGTCCCAAAATGTCTGGATGATTAGTAATTGAAATTTCAATGTATTCATATTTAATGTGTCTGTCGTTTGTTCTCAATTTTATAAAGATTTTATAGAATAAATATCACTCATGCTAAAAAGTCTTTTTATTACCCCATCCAATATACAGTACCCAAGAATGAAAGGGTGCAAGGGCAAGGGGGATCCCCCCCAACCCCTATCATATATCCTTGAATAAAATTTTACTTTTCATTTGTAAAATAGTTTAAAATTGATTTTGGCCCCTCATTTTTTATTTTATTTTCTGTTTAGCTCCCCAACTAATAAACTCTACATCCGTCCCTCGTGCAAGTGAATCTATGTTCAATATTGCATAACTATAATTCAAATTCTCAAATTGTGATGAAAACGTCAATCACTCATAAATTTTAATTAGTTGGTTGTTTTTTGTAATTGTTTTATGTTATTTGGATAAAGGGAAGAGTGAGAATAAAATATAAATGATAGAAAACTCGGAGAAAAAATATTAAGAGTAGTAATTTTTTTCTGCTTTTATATGTTTGCTCAAATAGTTTTTTAAGTAGGAAGGGGAGAACGGGGAGTGAGGGAACGACAATGAAGGAAAGCAGAATCGCTTTCAAGTGATAGGAAGAAACGAAGGTGGGTCAGTCACACGTTGACAATTCCTTGCGTATGATTCTTCTTTTTTATTTCTCTTCTTTGTCTTTCCCCATGCAGCGAGTTCCATGAAACTTTCCTGTGCAGAATTCAATTCATTCTTTGCTTCTTATAACAGTATGAATAAAAGTCAGTCTCTCAATCAAGATATTGGCAAAATATCTTCACTTGACTCACCCTCTTCTTAATCACATCCAGACGTTGCTATATAAAAATATGACAACGTTATTATTACGAGGACATGTCAACGGCGCGCTCTACGTGGATTATAAAATCTACCTAGAATGGTGAATGCTTATTTTAAAATCGCCTTTAATATAATTCATTAAACACATGACAATGAAATTTGACATTGCTCTAGACGATGTTAGTTAGGATAGTTGTTTGTTTAATTTATGAACATCAAAGTAAATGACGTTGAAAGAGAAAATACAATACATTGACACCAAAATACACCAATGTTTTAGATATCTATGGAATCTCTTATAAAAAAAAAAAAACTATTGAGAAGCGTCTTGCGACAAGAATCATCAAAAAGGATCATCTAATAAAGACATGGAAGTAAGCATTTTATGATGTGAGATGATGCCTAGCAACCAAAATGGGACTGGGTATCATTTGGTACGTACAATAGAAATTAAAGGAGAGGCAATGTAAGTATGTTGGTGTTTGGTTGGTCAAATTCATTTCAAATGTTCATCAATATTCACATGTTAAGGTACATTTTTATTTTGGATTTTTTTTTATGAACGCTGAGTACCTTGCACTAATAAGGTGTGTTTGTTTGAGGGGAGGGGAGGGTTTTTAAGATACCTTATTTGGTTTGGTTTTTTGATTAGAGGGAGGGGAGGGGAGGGATTTTTAATGATCCTTTGTTTGATTTAGGAGGGAAGGGGAGGGGAGGCAATAATTAAATTACCGTTATACCCTTGTATTATAATATATATTTTTTAACATTTTATCACACAAATTTATTTTACATATAAACTCAAATTGTATATATTTTTTTTAAATTACCCTAATCTTGTCAAAAAAAAATTTTTTACTTCTTCACCCCAAATAAGTAAATTAAATAATACTATTAAATAATCTTATTAGTAAATTAATCTAAATATTAAACAATACTTTGTGAAAAAAATCAATGAAACTAATGATTTTATACCCCCTAATAATTGCACAAGATAATGCTAGTCTTTGATAACAATTGAGTAACAATTGTCATCATTAATAACAAAATATATTGGGCAATAGCATTTAATATATTGATCATGCTTAAGAACCACATTTTGACATCTAGCTAACAAAATATACAAAAATTATCAATAAAAGTCATCATTTAATTAGAACTATAAAACATCCTCATTGTCACATCCTTCGTACTGGTGCTGGATACTGAGTTGCTGCTCTAAGCCTATCATTATCAGCCATAAGAAACCAATATATGTCAGGTAATCTTGCAGCATCAATCCCACACTCTTCAAGCATTTTCCAAATTTCTTCACCTGACAATTGTGGCACCTTCTTAAAACTTTGTCCTATCATCACATTTCCTTATTGAATTGCCTCAGTCACAACTAATACTGCTCCCGTCAACTCATTTAGACTAGCCTCCTTCTCCTTAGACACCCTCTTTGTCTTCTTACTACATGCACTATTAATAGTGAGTGAGTGCTCTTGGTCAGGTGAGTTTTCTTGTTCCGGTGAGATTTCTTGTCTATCAAGCTCGACATTAATTGTGGCTCTATTGTGTGAGACACTATTGTTAATGTCATTGACGGTTTCAGTGACTTCCTCTTGAGAACGACGTCTCTTTCTCCACTCATGGGCTGTCTCACTCTCATCTCCGTTAGCTCTATCTACTCCATATAATATCATCATTTTTTCATAGTTTGGAAAAGGAGTAGTTCTCCACAATGCTGCTTTAGGTTTAGCCTGAAACAAATGAAATTTCAAAAGCAATTCAATTACAAATGCGCACTTTTTCATTTTCAAATAATAATATAATCAATGCATATGTAAAAATTTACCTCAATTAATGCATCCTAAACTTCAGGCTCAGCATCCCATACTTGAGTTGTTGGATTCCAAACGAACCCACTCAAACTTTTGAAAATGTCATAAACATCTGAAAAGTTTCTCTTTTAGTCTTCCATCGATTTTTCACCTTTTCCTTGTCAATTTGTTTACCAAATAAAGCACTCAAATATTTACATATGTTATCATAAGCTGTAGTTGTAAAAGTGCCATTAACTTTGTGACCTTCATTATATTCATTCATGAAAGCATCAACGAGGGCATCATCCATTAATCTTGTCCATTCACAATCTCCTTATTATTGTTTGGTGTCATCCTATCACATAACAATATAATCACATAATACAATCCCAATATGAAAAACTAATCAAATTTCAATAGCAAACTAAACAAATAATACAAAGCAAATAAAAGTCAACAAACAACAAATTTCAATATCTGATCAAACCTCAATTAAACTCAATATAAGTCAATGTAATAATACAACATATTTAAATGTCTATAATGATACAATAGAGTCTAACTTATTGAGTAAATCAAAATTCAATCATCAAGTTCATCCTCAAGAGCAGCCAGATGTTCCTGATAATCTGCCCACATCTGATTGGCTATATTTTCTCTAATAAGTTCACCTCTAGCAGCCTCATTATTGTCCCCTCTTTGAGCATGGTTATTATCATTTGAATGGTTTTCTCTATAAGAACAGCATCAACTTCCTCTAAAAGATCTTCAATAGGGTCCATACCCACAAGGAAGTTATGAAGAATGCAACATACATATATTATCATTTTTTGTGCTTTGATTCCATATGTAGGTTCAGTTGCATTGGATAGAATGGAAAATCTTTTTTTCAAAACACCAAAAGCACGTTCAATGGCATTGCGTAACCTTGCATGTCGAAGGTTAAATAACTCTCTATAGTTCAGGGGGATTCCGTTTTGAATATTCTT